GCCTCAGCCGCCTGTTTTTGCAGGAAAGGGGTCAGGCTGCTCGGCATCTCCTCTGGCTTTAAAAACCCACATCTGAGTTTCTTCCATCCCTCTACCGCTCTGTGCCCATGCCTGTCCCGCTCTCATTCTTGTGGGCTTCTGACACTTCCCCTCCTCCCCACTCCTAGTGCCTGGCTCTGTGACACAGACTGTCTGCACTGAATCCCTGTGTAGGTGTCCCGCATGAGATGTCTGCAGAACGAGACTTACAGTGTGCTGAGCCCCAGCAAAAGTGAGGACATTGTGCTTCGATGGAGCCAGGAATTCAGCACCTTGACTCTAGGCCAGTTTGGATGAGCTGGCATCTATCCTGTCCGCACCCCAGCCCGACCTGTCCATGTTCTCTATGTTTTTAGACCCCATCTGTCACTTTGCTTTCAGGCTGCCCCTTCTGGGTCTGTTACTTGGCCCCTACTCGCATTTCCTTGGGTTGGAGCAGCAGTCCCAGAGAGGGCCACGGTGGGAGCTACACCCTCCTTAAAAGATGACTTTACATAAAGTGCTTATTTTTAGCCTGTGTGGCCTATTTTTGTTGTGATCCCCATCCTCAGCTCTGCTACCCTGCCCTGTGGTCAGTCCCTAACCTCTGGTTTTACAGATCCACCTGCGGGTGAGAATCTCATGGGATGGTGGTCAGGAAGCATCCATCTGCCAGGAGAAGCAGAAGACCTGAGAACCCAGGGAGCCGGACTGAGGATGGCCAGGGCTGGGGCTGTGGGGATGGTGTGGGCATGAGGGCAGGTGTGACATCACTGCTGAAGCCCTAGGCCCATGATGTCAGATGCGAGTGTAATATTGTTCCTTTGAAGGATAAAGGCCGGGGCCTGATGAGATGTTGTCCAAAGGGACCAATCCCCAGGTATAGGGCAGGCACAGCTTGCACTTTATCAGGAAGGGGAAAACCAGGAACTACAGCCTAAATCAGGAAACCTTGGGGGTTTTTCTGTTTGTTTTGTTTTTTGAGACAGGGAGGTCTCACTCTGTCACCCAGGCTGGAGTGCAGTGGCGCGATCACCACCCACGGCAGACTCGACCTCCTGGGCTCCAGCGACATCCTCACCTCAGCCTCTTAGATACTTGGGACAACCGGAATGCAGCACTATGGCCAGCTAATTCTTAAATTTTTTTGTAGAGATGGGCATCTTGCATGTTGCACAGGTTGGTCTCGAACTCCTGGGCTCAAGCAATGTTCCCATCTCGGCCTCCCAAAGTGCTGGGATTACAGGAAGGAAACCCTTGGTGTACAGGACTTTGCCAGATGATCTGGATGTTTAAGTGGTTGCATCTTAACAGCCTACACTGAGTATGACTCCAGCAGTGGCCCTTAGTAACTTGAAATCTTCCGGCCAGTCACGGTGGCTCACACCTGTAATCCCAGCACTTTGGGAGGCCAAGGCAGGCAGATTACCTGAGGTTGGGTGTTACAGATCAGCCTGACCAACATGGAGAAACCCTGTCTCTACTAAAAATATAAAATTAGCCAGGCGTGATGGCGCATGCCTGTAATCCCAACTACTTGGGAGACTGAGGCAAGAGAATCACTTGAACCTGGGAGGCAGAGGTTGTGGTGAGCTGAGATTGTGCCATTTGCACTCCAACCTGGGCAATAATAGTGAAACTCTGTCTCAAAAAAGATAATAATAGGCCAGGCGCGGTGACTCATGCCTGTAATCCCAGCACTTTGGGAGGCTGAGGTGGACAGATCACCTGAGGTCGGGAGTTCAAGACCAGCCTGACCAAAACAGAGAAACCCCGTTTCTTAAAAAAAAAAAAAAAAAAAAAAAAAAAAAAAAATTTTTAGATAAATAAATAAATAACTTGAAATCTCCCAAAGTATGTTCCAGGGATACTGTAGAAGTCTCCCTTCTATAGGTTCATTGTAATTAACAGCATTTTTGGAATGCTCTCATAGCTTGCTTACTATGAGAGTTCAAATATGGACAAAAATAGAATAGTATAACGCACCCTCATGTGCCCTTCACCCAGTTTCCATGATCAACTCAAGGCCTATCATTTCACAGCATGTTAGAGGCCCTCCAGAGTTCCATAATAGAGAAACCTGTTTAACCTAGTGCTTCCCAAACTCATTTCACCACAGTCCCCTTTCCACCTACCACCAAAAGACTTGAACTTGTTTATTAAGCATGGATAACATACCTGGCCCCATGCTCACGGGGCCCCTCATCTCTGTGTCCTCTGGCCCAAGGACACAAGACAAGGGGCCAAAGGGAAACAGACCTAAGCAAAGAGGAACCGTCCAGCCTGGTGGCTTCTGGATGCAGGAGCCAAGTGTGCTCAGTGGGAGGCAGAGTCTAGCAGAGTGCTGGCACGCAGAGGGCCCCAGGCAGGATGAGGCACAAGCCACGAGTGGCATGGGCTAAACCACCTGGCAGACCCAGGAAAGGAAGAGAGGAAGAGAAACACCCAGGGGGAACCGGTGAGGACAGCGAGAGGCTGGGGGGTTAGTCATCTGGCAACCGATGGTGGGTGTGCCAGGAAGAGTTCCCAGACACAGCAGGAATATCTGAATGACAGGTAGGGGGGAGTTCTTAGTCGGCAAGAGTCAGGGCTGGATTAAGTGTCCTTAGCTGCTGGGGTTTCTTCTCTGACCAGTCTGTGAAGCCTCTGAGGGCAATGCTTCCTCTTCACTCTCTCCTTGGCCCCTGTGGGGTTGGGTGAGTGCCTGAGCTGGGAGGGATGTGCTGAGATCTGCTGAAGTGGGTGTGTCCCCATCCGCCCCAGGAGCAGGTCCTACCAGCCCAGCTCAGAGCAGGCAGCGGAAGCCAGCTTGGGGCAGCGCAGAGCAACAAGGAGCACAGGTATGGGGGAACTGCACAGGGAGCACAAGGGGCAGCACCCCTCCTATAGAAATGGGGGACATGGGTGGGGGACAGAGATGAGTGTGGGCATGGGCCTTGGAAAACCCTGCTGAACAGAGTAAAAAGCCGAAAGGAGCTGTTTCAAGTAGACAGATCTTTTCAGATGGAGCTGGACAAACAGCTAACATGCCTGCTGTACCCCGGGGGTGCCTCTCTGACACTTGAAGCCCCTACTCTGGGTCGTCTCACAGAGTCTGTGTCCTTCCCTTTCCCCTCTAGGCCCCCACTGTGGTGCTGAACCCTGGGCCTCCGGGGAGGACCCTCTGGGAACTGTTTACACCCTTTTCCCTCTCCCAGTTAAACCTCAACCCCTACATCGCTCACCCCCCAGGGCCCAGCAGATGACAATGAGCTAATCTAATCAAACTCACGAATGGGTTGACTAGCACAGATGTGTTCTCAGTGTTATCCTTCCCAACTAGCCAAGATGTACTGTGATGGGGTCTTCGGGAAGTGCTGCCTTAACCCAAAGGGTGCATCTCTATAAGGGGATTAGAATTATGCTCTTTGATGTCCCTATGGCTCTGACAGATTGTGGCTTGAGGGGATGGACTTTTGGAGGCAGGGACATAACTGGAGGTCAGCGGGGCTTTATGACACCTTTGTATCACATGATGAGGATGGGGCCTACCTATTACCTGTGGTCGTGGGGCCCCATGACAAATAGGGGACCCCCACCAGATCGTATCTCCAGAACGCCTCCTTTTTCCCCTTTCCTTTCCTTTCTTTTTGACAGAGTCTCGCTCGGTTGCCCAGGATGGAGTGCAGTTGCATACTCTCGGCTCACTGCAACCTCCGCCTCCTGGGTTCAACTTATTCTCTGCCTCAGCCACCCAAGTAGCTGGGATTACAGGCATGCACCACCACGCCTGGCTAATTTTTGTATTTTTAGTACAGACAGGGTTTCAAAATCTTGGCCAGGCTGGTCTTGAATTCCTGACCTCGTGATCCACTCACCTCAACCTCCCAAAATGCTGGGATTACAGGCACGAGCCACTGTGCCCGGCCTCTGCTAGTATTTGAAATATTTTGTAGAAATATTTCTGTTGCCCAGGCCAGCAGAAATCCTCCTTTTAGGGTGAGCTAAAGTTGTAGACCTAGGTGGACATGGAGGCAGGGATTAAGGTGAGACAGAAACTTACTCCCATGTGGTATGTGTAAACCTCACCTCCCGGTCACCCAGAGGCACTAGAGTCCAACTCCATCTGTCTGATGCCATCTGCTCTCTCCACTCTGCTGTCCCCAGTGCATACCCCAAGAGACACCTGCCAACAGAGATATTTTATGCCCAGGGGCATTTTTTAAAAGCCCAGAAAAATGGCCAGGAGTGGTGGCTCACACCTGTACTCCTAGCACTTTGGGAGGCCGAGGCTGGCTGATCACGAGGTCAGGCGTTCAAGACCAGCCTGGGCAACATGGTGAAACCCCACCTCTACTAAAAATACAAAAATTAGCTGGGTGTGGTGGCAGGTGACTGTAGTCCCAGCTATTCAGGAGGCTGAGACAGGAGAATCGCTTGAACCCGGGAGGCAGAGGTTGCAGTCAGCTGAGATTGTGTCATTGCACTCCAGCCTAGGTAACAGACTGCATCTCAAAAAACAAAACAAAACCCAAGAGAAGGAGGTGGCAGGTGGGGTGAGGGCTGAAGCTAGTGCACACTAAGGTCAAGTGAGGTCAGCAAGGCCCACAGGCTCCAGTGGATTTCCTGAGGAGGCAGGACCTGCCAGGCTACAAGCGAGGGTCAGCTGCACACAGACCGCCTCAGAGCACACGTCAGGTGGCTGGGCCTGCCTCCATGGCTTCTCTTGGTTGGGACTGACTTTCTTGCTTTTCCACCTCTTAAAAGCAGGGTGAGGGGAGAGGCACAATGGCGAGGTGTTATCCGCACATTGGGGAAACTAGTTATTGAGCTGTAGACTACCTTTGCTTTCTGCCTTTTCCCATGCGAATGTCAGGACTGATGAGATCAGAATACGCAGGGAGGGGAAGCCAGGGCCAAAGATGATGCTGAAAATGCAGGAAGAGACAGGCTTCAGTAGGGAAGGGTGGGGAGAGGTGGGAGCAGAAATTTTGGCTGGAGAAGCAGGCAGGCCTGGGCCAAGGAGGAGGGAAGATGTGTTGGCTTCAGTGACTCCTCTCTGAGGAAGAATGTGGCCCCGGGGCAGAAGGAGGCCTCCCCACTCACCCTGGGGACGTTGTACTGTCCCCAAACCTCTAGGATGAGGGTTCATCCTCCGGTTCCATCTAGTCTTCCATCTCATCCCTGCCCCTCAGGCACAGGATAAATGGAAGAACAGGATTCATTTGTGCCCCCAAACAACTCTGGGACAGAGCTTTTCACAAAGGCTTTAGACGGAGCTAAGCTTCTGCTGAAGGCTCAGCACAGCTGGCATCTGTTTGGAGGGCCTGGATATAGAGATACTGAGGAGTCTTCATGATGACGCCTGACTGTGGGGAAGGGGTGCATCCTCCCAACGCTGCCTGAACACAGAGGCAGAGGAAGTAGGCTTCGCTAATTCAGCAAGTGGGTTAGGGCACACTCTAAAGAGGGACTTCCTGTGTCGGGGCTGAGACACTGATGGGCCACGAGACTCTAAAAGGAGGATGGGGCTATTCCAGAGCTGATCCTCGGGAGCCAGGAGGATGGGAAGATGTGAGAATCCTTCTTTTCAGACCTCTGACCCTAAGGAATTGGAGTCCGGAGACCCATGATGTGAATTATTTGAAAGAGGAGGCAAAGACAGAGCAAGGCATGTGGTGCTTGTGGGGAGGTTGGTAAGGCAGGAGAGGCAGATGGGAGGAACTGGGCATTCCCCTCCCCCCCACACCTTTCTCATTGTCCCCAACCCCCTGGTGCTTTCTCTTCAGCTCCCCTCGACATCATTAGTCTGCTGCCAGAGAGGCTGGAAACCAGGGCAAGGTGTGTGTGGAGGAGTGAGGGAATGATCACCATTTTGCCTCCTGCTCACTTTTACACTCTTGTTCTCACTTCCTGCCTCTGGCAGAAAATAGCCCTGCCCCTCTGGCTTATCTCAGCAAAAAGCAGTGCCCAGCCCAGCTCAGAGGGCAATGGGACAGATCCCAGAGGCCCTGAGGAGGTAAGGAAGCTGGTCCCCGGATATGTACATGGGAAGCTGAAGGACAGAGACCCAGGGAGCAGGAAGGTGGCTGCACACACTCTGGTGTGTGTGAGTGGAGTTGGGGTGGGTGATACGGAAGGAGCAGTCCCGGGGCCTCTGTGCGTATGGTGGTCTCTTTGCCCCTGATTCCCCTGGGGTTGAGACCTGCTGTGCCTGTGAAGCCTCCTAGTTCTATGTCTATGTAAGGGTACTGTCCTTAAGGAAGGGGCTTCTTTCTCTTCCTCCCCAGCCCAGTTGTCTGTGCACATACTTGTACATTACAGGATGTGTATAGACACCAATTTGTATGTTACCAGGGATCTTGTGTGCACATCTCTTAGCGTGTGTATATGTCTGTGTCTGTGCATGCACATGTGTAGTGAGTGGTATACTTACCTGACATCAGTGGGTGCCGACGTTTCTGAGGCTACTCGGGAGGCTGAGGCCACCTCTGTGTCCCTCCTCCCTGGGTTCCTTCTTTGCTGGGGCGGTTGCCGTTTCTTTGATTCCTGCATCTCTCCCACAGCCTGACCTCTTCTTCAAGGCAGGATTTGGGGGGAGAGGGTCTGGGCTGCCCTTCCCCCACACCTAGTTTCCCTCCTTCCACTTCCTGTTAGCCTCCTTTTTGGCGGTTTTTTCCATCTTCACCAGCTGGCCTGGCACTGTGCCCATTCAACTCCTGAAGGGGCCCCCGGGCTTGGGGAAGCAGGAGTGTGGGATGGGACCAGGCCAGGGGCCTGGAGGCTCTCAATGCTCAGCTTGGGCCATTCCGTGTGACTGTCAGAAAGAGGTGCTTTTTGACAACCAGACTCCTTTAGAAAGAAACCCAGGCTGGGCGCGGTGGCTTACCCTGTAATCCCAGCACTTTGGGAGGCCAAGGCGGGCGGATCACGAGGTCAGGAGCTCGAGACCATCCCAGCCAATACGGTGAAACCCCGTCTCTACTAAAAATGCAAAAATTAGCTGGGCATAATTGCACATGCCTGTAATCCCAGCTAAGGCAGATGAATCGCGTGAACCAGGGAGTCGGAGGTTGCAGTCAGCTGAGATTGCACCACTGTACTCCAGCCTGGTGAAAGTAAGACTCTATCTCAAAAACAAACAAATGAAAAAAAGAAACCCAACCGGGTGCAGTGGTTCATGCCTGTAGTCCCAGCACTTTGGGAGGCCAAGGCGGGCAAATCACAAGGTCAAGAGATCGAGACCATCCTGGCCAACAAGGTGAAACCCCGTTTCTACTAAAAATACAAACAATTAGCCGGGCGTGGTGGTGTGTGCCTGTAGTCCCAGCTACCCGGGAGGCTGAGGAAGAATTGCTTGAAACCAGAAAATGGAAGTTGCAGTGAGCTGGGATCGCACCACTGCACTCCAGCCCGGTGACAGAGCAAGACTCCATCTCAAAAATAAAAGAAATCCAAGATGGGCTGGGGCTGGGTGCAGTGACTCATGCCTGTAATCTCACCACTTTGAGAGGCTGAGGCGGGTGGATCACCCAAGGTCAGAGTTCAATACCACCCTGACCAATATGGGAAAACCCTTCTCTACTGAAAATACAAAAATTAGCCAGGCACGGTGGTACATACCTATAGTCCCAGCTACTCAGGAAGCTGAGACGGAAGAACTGCTTGAACCCGGGAGGTGGAGGTTGCAGTGAGATCATGCCGCTGCACTCCGCTGCAACAGAGCGAGATTGAGTCTCAAAAAAAAAAAAAAGATAGGCTGGGTTCAGTGGATAATACATGTAGTCCCAGCACCTAGAAATCTGGAAGGCCGAGGCAGGCGAATCATTTAGGGTCAGTAGTTCAACACTAACCTAGCTTGGCCAACATGGTAAAACCTTGTTTCTACCAAAAACAAAAATTAGGCAGATGTGGTGGTGTGAGACTTAAATCCCAGCTACTCAAGTGGCTGCCACAAGAACTGATTGAACCCAGGAGGCAGAGGTTGCAGTGATTGTGCTACTGCACTCCAGCCTCCAAAGTGAGACTGTCTCAAAAAAAAAAAAAAAAAAAAAAAAGAAACCCAAGAACTTCTTCCCTTCGGAATAGAGTAATGAGAGAGCACAGCCATTTCCTTTGCTAAAAAATTCTTAATTTTACCTTTATATTTATTTATTTATGTTTTTTTGAGACGGAGTTTTGTTCTTGTTACCCAGGCAGGAGTGCAGTGGCGCAATCTCGGCTCACTGCAACCTCTGCCTCCTGGGTGCAAGCGATTCTCCTGCCTCAGCCTCATGAGTAGCTGGGATTACAAGTGCCTGCCACCATGCGCAGGTAATTTTTGTATTTTTAGTAGAGACGAGGTTTTGCCATGTTGGCCAGGCTGGTGTCAAATGCCTGACCTCAAGTGATCTGCCTGCCTTGGCCTCCCAAAGTGCTGGGATTACAGGTGTGTGTCACCACTTGGCCTAACTTTACCTTTAAATAGCTGCTCAATGAATACATCTTGGTCTATTGTAACTTTTTCAACAGAAAGATCTGAGATATGACTGTACTGAGAGGTTTAAAAAAAAAAAGACTTGAGATTGGCCAGGTGTGGTGGCTCACAGTTATAATCCTAGCACTTTGGGAGGCCAAGGCTGGCGAATCACCTGAGGTCAGTAGTTCGAGACCAGCCTGACACACACGGGGAAACCCAGTCTTCTCTACAAAAATAATTAGCTGGGCATGGTGGTGGGCACCTGTAATCCCAATTACTCGGGAGACTGAAGCAGGAGAATCGCTTGAACCCGAGAGGCAGAGGTTGCTATGAGCTGAGATTATACCACTGCACTCCAGCCTGGGCAAGAGAAAGAGAGAGAGAGAGAGAGAGAGAGAGAAGAGAGAGAGAGAGAGAGAGAAGAGAGAGAGAGAGAGGAGAGAGAGAGACGAGAGAGAGAGAGACGGGGAGACGAGAGAGAGAGAGAGAGACGGGGAGACGAGAGAGAGAGAGAGAGAGAGAGAGAGGGACGTGAGTGAGAGAGAGAGAGAGGGAGGGAAGAGAGAGAGAGAGAGAGAAGAGAGAGAGAGAGAGAGAGAGAGAGAGAGAGAAGAGAAGAGAGAGAGAAAGAGAGAGAGAGACACTCCATCTCAAATTAAAAAAAAAAAAGGAAGAAAGAAAGACTTGAGGTTCTTGAAAAATAATCCATCCACTCATTCAGTGTCTAGTATATGCTTCCTAATTGGAAGGATCTACTGGTTCTCCAAGCAATGGTTAAGAATGATCAAGTGATACTGTAATTATAGTGTAAATGTTATTGAAATCTTAGTGCAAGCTGTTTTCAAACAGATCTTTTAAGGGAAGTGGTTTTTTGGTTGGTTGTTTTTTGAGATGGAGTCTCTGTTGCCTGAGTGTAGTGGCCCAATCTTAGCTCACTGCAACCTCTGTCTCCCGGGTTCTAGCGATTCTCCTGCCTCAGCCTCCTGAGTAGCAGGGATTACAGGTGCATGCCAGTACACCCAGCTAATTTTTGTATTTTTAGTAGAGACGGGGTTTCACCATGTTGGCCAGGCTGATCTCCAACTCCTGACCTTGTGATCACCCGCCTCGCCCTCCCAAAGTACTAGGATTACAGGCATGAGCCACCACGCCCTTTTTTCTTTTTCTTTTTTTGAGATGGAGTTTCACTCTTGTTGCCCAGGCTGGAGTGCAATGGTGCGATCTTGGCTCACCACAACCTCCACCTCCCAGGTTCAGGTGATTCTCCTGACACAGCCTCCCTAGTAGCTGACATTACAGGCATGCACCACCACACCCAGCTCATTTTGTATTTTTAGTAGAGACGGGGTTTCACCCTGAGGAGAGAACCAGCCTCATTTTGTTGAGGCTGGTTTCGAACTCCCAACCTCAGGTGATCCGCCCAGCTTGCCCTCCCAAAGTGTTGGGATTACAGGCATTAGCCCCTGCACCCAGCCCATCTACCACTTCTTATCACACTCTTTCTTGTCCAAATGTACAACTCAGTAAAAGACCATTTCCTGGCTGGGCGAGGTGAAGTAGGTATTACAAAGTGGGTTCTTTGTAATAACCCACTTCAAATAACCCATTTTATACACTTCCATTGGACAAATGAGGAAGTGAAATGATGTACCTATGGGCACAGATTTCATAGAGGCAACTATAAAAGACCAGGTGCTCTCTGCAGCATCCATCCATTGCTCTTGCTGGAAGCAGCATCATACAATTTGGATTTTGGAGCTAGGCCGTCCTGGGTTTAAATTCTGACTTCACTCCTTGGTGCCAAGCTCTTATGCTTCTGATTCTTTTCCTTTTAAAATGAGGATAAACACCTACCTCAACAGACTGTTGGAAAGGCTGGAGATTATGTACACAAATTACGATATGGTGATGATCAGTAAATGATAGCTATTATTTTAATTTTTTTTCGAGACAGAGTCTCGCTCTGTCACCCGGGCTGGAGTCCAGTGGCATGATCTCAGCTCACTGCAATCTCTGCCTCCCTGGTTCAAGCAATTCTCCTGCCTCAGCCTCCTAAACAGCTGGGATTGCAGGCATGCACCACCACATCCAGCTAATATTTGTATTTTTTAGTTGAGACGGAGTTTCATCATGTTGGCCAGGCTGGTCTCAAACTCCTGACCTCGTGATCCACCCACCTCGGCCTCCCAAAGTGCTGGGATTACAGGCGTGAGCCACTCTGCCCGGCCATGATAGCTATTATTTTTAACATTTACAGAGGTAGGTGCTGGGAATGCACAGATTAATAAGCCACAGTCCACAGCCCCTCCCTCTAAGAGCTCACAGTCTAATGGGAGGGGCCGACCAGGAACAGCTGACTACTATACTTGTGGGGAGAGCTCTGATAAACCAGTGCACTGTTGCAGAGGGAGATAAGTGAAGGTATCACATCTGCTGTGTGTGGGGGACAGTCAGGGAAGGCTTTGAGAGCCATGAAAAAAGACTAAGCTTGCCAGTTAGAGAATGGGAGGCAGGGCGTTCCAAGTTGAAGAAACAGCATATGCAAAGGCAGAGTGCTGAAAACAGAAGGCATCTCCACAATTAGTGTTAGTTGGGTGTGCCTGGAGCAAAGGAGAGTGGGGCAGGGGAGTGTGGCAGAAATGAGCCTGCTTTTACTTGCTTTTCAGCCTGTTTAAGTCCCATTTGGTGTTTATTTTCGTTGCTGAGATTGGTATTTTGCAAGAAGTATTTCTTTATTCCCTTTAATTGTTTTACTCTATTTCTTACAAGTCTCAAACTGCTGGTGGTGGTGGTCGGAGGAAGAATAAAACCAAATACAAGTAAAACTTGCAGCCAGGTACAGTGGCTCACGCCTGTAAGCCTAGGACTTTCAGAGGCCAACACAAAAGGATTGCTTGAGCCCAGTTCAAGACCAGCCTGGGCAACGCAGTCAGACCTGTTTCTACAAAAAAAAAATTTTCCTTTTTTTTTTTTAGATGGAGTCTTGCTCTGTCACCCAGGCTGAAGTGCAGCGGCACAATCAGAGCTCACTGCAACCTCTGCATCCTGGGTTCAGCGATTCTCCTGCCTCAGTCTCCTGAGTAGCTGGGATTACAAGTGCCTGCCACCATGCCTGGCTAATTTTTTTGTATTTTTAGTAAAGACGCTGTTTCACCATGTTGGCTAGGCCGGTTTCAAACTCCTGACCTTAAGTGATCCACCCACCTCAGCCTCCCAAAGTGCTAGGATCACAGGCATGAGTCACTGCACCTAGCCGTCTACAAAAACTTAAAAATTAGCCAGGCATGGTGGTACATGCCTGTAGGTCCAACTATTCAGAGGCTGAGATAGAAAGATCACTTGAATCTGGGAGGTCAAGACTGCAGTGGGCCGAGATCAAACCACTGCATTCCAGCCTGGACCACGAATGAGACCCTGTCTCAAAAAAAAAAAAAACCAAAACCAAACTTGTTATAGTCAGGTTTATGACTTATTTTCTTGCAACTATTTAAACAGTTCGTGTGTGTCTGTGTGTGTGTGTGCGTGGTTTCATTCTTGTTGCTCAGACTGGAGTGCAATGGTGTGATCTAGCCTCACGGCAACCTCCGCCTACTGGGTTCAAGTGATTCTCCTGCCTCAGCCTCCTGAGTAGCTGGGATTACAGGCATGTACCACCATGCCTGGCTAATTTTGCATTTTCAGTAGAGACGGGGTTTCTCCCTGTTGGTCAGACTGGTCTCCAACTCCTGACCTCAGGTGATCCACCTGCCTCGGCCTCCCAAAGTGTTGGGATTACAGGCATGAGCCACCACATCCAGCCCTAACAGTTCCTTTTGAAAGGAGTAAGCTCAGTGTCTTGGGATAGTTGCTCAGGGTCTCAGAGACAGCTTCTCTCCCTAAGAGGACATCTAGACACTCATATTCACAGTGGTATTCTTCACAATAGCCTAGAGCTAAAAACCCAAGTATTCACTGACAGAAATGGATGAGCAAAATATTATCCAATGAAATACATTATTCAGCTATAAAAATGAAATTGCAAGCAGGGTGTGGTTTCACCATGTTGTCCAGGCTGATCTTGAACTCTTGACCTTAGATGATCTGCCCTCCTCAGCCTCCCAAACTGCTGGAATTATAGGCGTGAGTCACCACGCTCGCCCACAACACTGTGAGTGTACTGAATGACACTGCGTTTTACATTTTAAAATGATGAAGTTAGCTGGGTGCAGTGGTGCATGCCCGTAAGTCCCAGCTACTTGGGAGGCTGAGGCAGGAGGATCATTTGATTCCAAGAGTTCAAGACCAGCCTCGAACATAGTAAGACCCTATGTTAAAAAAAAAAAATTATAGGCCAGATGCAGTGGCTCATACCTGATTACCTGGGGTTAGGAGTTAGAAACCAGCCTGGACCACATGGTGAAACCCTATCACTACTAAAAATACAAAAAAATTAGCCAGGCGTAGTGGCACATACCCGTAATCCCAGCTACTCGGGAAGCAGGGGCAGGAGAACTGCTTGAACCCAGGAGGCCGGAGGTTGCAGTGACCCAAGATCTTACCACTGCACTATAGCCTGGGTGACAGAGGGAAAGTCTGCCTCAAAAAATATATATATAAATGTTCAGTTATGTATATTTTACCATACACACACAAAATAGAAGGTACGCAGGGCTGAAGTGGAGGGGTAGCTTCTATGGCGTTATGTGTTGAGGAAGGTGGCTTCCCCTCAGACTGTCCTTTCCTCTGGCTCCTCCATCTCTTGACCACATCCTTTGTCAGTTTTTGCCTGAGGACTGCAGCTGCTGCGGTTTCCCCTCTGGTAGCCTGGTCAGTACCAGTGGTACCCTTCCTCACCTCACCTCTGTGATCTCTAGGCTTAGGGTCCCCTTTGATCACTCACGACCAAACCAACATCTCCCCAGTACCACAGAGCCTCATCTGGGATTAGACCTGCTGGGGGAGCACCTGGCAAAACTCAACCCACAGGACCTTCCCCTGCCTAGGAAGACTGTGCAGTCAAATTTATTCACACGTGGCTCTGGTCAAGACTAGCGTGCAATCAGCCTATGAGGGCACTGGTATATTACTATTACCATTTTACAGATGAAGCAACTGAGAAGTCCAACCATTAAGCTGAACCCAGTTTGCTTTGACCACAAATCCAGCCCACATAGGTGCAATGGTGGATGTAATGAGTGAGGCTGTGATTTTGTTCAGTACTCGGGAGTTTGTTTATTTATTTCCTTGCCTGAGACAGAGTCTCACTCTGTCACCCAGGGTGGAGTACAGTGCCGCGATCTCAGTTCACTGCAACCTCCACTTCCCAGGTTCAAGTGATTCTCCTGCCTCAGCCTCCCATGTACTCAGGAGTTTGAACTTTATTCTTTGGATAATGAGGAGCTAGCCTAGCACCTGGTCCAGGGAGGTACTCCATAAGACAACCTATTGATTTGTGCTTATCATCTGCCTCCCTCCTGAATGCAAAGGAGGTGGAAGCCAAGCCTTTTTGTTTTGTTCCCTGCTGTGAACATGCCTAGAACCTTCTATAAGCTCAGTAAGCAAGTAAAGAAGGAAGGAAAAGATCTTGAGATAGTAACAGCAACCTAAGCATTTTACACACATCATCTTTTTCTCTCTTTCTTTCTTTCTTTTTCTTTTCTTTTTTTTTTTTTTTGAGATGGAGTCCTGCTCTGTCACCCAGCGTGGAGTGCAATGGCACAATCTCGGCTCACTGCAACCTCCGACTCCCCCGTTTAAGCAATTCTCTTGCCTCAGCCTCCCGAGTAGCTGGGATGACAAGCAACCACCACGACAATACCCGGCTAATTTTTCCTAGCTGATTTTTTTTGTATTTCTAGTAGAGACGGGGTTTCTCCATGTTGGCCAGGCTGGTCTCAAACTCCTGACATCAGGTGATCCGCCTGCCTCGGCCTCCCAAAGTGCTGGGATTAGGCATGAGCCACTGCGCCCAGCCTACATGCGCCATCTTAATCTCCAAACAACCTCACAAATTCTCTCTTTTTTCTCTCTCATTTTTTGAAACAGAGTCTCACTCTGTCGCCAAGGCTGGAGTGCAGTGGTGTGATCTCGGCTTACTGCAAACTCTGCCTCCTGGATTCAAGTAATTCTCATCCCTCAGCCTCCCAAGTAGCTGGGATTACAAGGGTCCCTCCATGCCCAGCTAATTTGTGTATTTTTAGTAGATGCAGGATTTTGTCATGTTGGCCAGATTGGTCTGGAACTCCTGATCTCAGATGATCTGCCTGCCTTGGCCTCCCAAAGTGCTGGATTACAGGCATGAGCCACTACGCTTGGCCTAGCCCTCTTTCTTTTTTGAGACAGGGGCTCACTCTGTCACCCAGGCAGAAGTGCAGTGGTGTACCCCACTCCCTGGGGTCAAGTGATCCTCTTAGCCTCCCAAGTAGCTGGGACTACAGGTGTGCACCACCATGCCCAGCTAATTTTTTTATATTTATATATATATATATTTTCGAGACCGACTCTCGTTCTATTGCCCAGGCTAGAGTGCAATGACGCAATCTCGGCTCACTGTAACCTCTATCTCCCGGTTCAAGCGATTCTCCCAGCCTCAGCCTCCTGAGTAGCTGGGATTACAGGTGCCTGCCACCATACCCAGCTAATTTTTGTATTTTTAGTAAAGATGGGGTTGGCCATCTCTATGTTGGCCAGGGTGGTCTCAAACTCCTGACCTGCCTGCCTTGGCCTCCCAAAGCGCTGGGATTACAGATGTGAACCACCGTGCCTGGACTTATTTTTATTTTTTGAGACAGAGTTTTGCTTTTGTTGTCCAGGCTGGAGTGTAATGGCGTGGTCTCAGCTTACTGCAACCTCTCCCTCCAGAGTTCAAGTGATTCTCCTGCCTCAGCCTCCTGAGTAGCTGGGATTACAGGCCTGCACCACCATGCCCAGCTAATTTTTGTATTTGTTCGAGACAGGCTGGTTTCAAACTCCTGACCTCAGGTGTTCCACCCACCTCGGCCTCCCAAACTGCTGGGATTACAGGAGTGAGCCACCGTAGCTGGCCCTGTATTTTTTTGTAGAGACGGGGTCTTGCCATGTTGCCCAGGCTGGTACCCAACTCCTAGGTTCAAGCGATTGGTCTGCCTTGGCCTCTCAAAGTGCCAGGATTACAGGTGTGAGCCACTGCACCCAGCCAAGATTAATTTTTCTGAAGTCACACAACTAGCCAAGTTATCAACGCCAAGATTTAAACCTAGGCATCTGAGTCCCTGCCTTCAAGCCTGGGAGTTTAACACTGTACTATATAGTCCTGCTGCAGGAACCTCTTCTGACCCAATGGCAGACTTGAGGCTGAGAAAAGACTCAGAAGGCCTGCCAGTGTCGCTAAACATTTGTGTGTGCAGCCCTGTCTCTGTGTAACTTCTGGCTTGCCTTCCTATCCCAGGTTTCCACTGCTGATGAAGCTGTGACCAAACGCACCCACCACTTGGCAGCCCTCTGTCCCTGCAGCCATAGTCCACATTCCCATGCCCTGCCTCTGCTTGTTTTGGGACCATCTCTCTACAGCCTCTAGGCCCCAGCCCCAGAGGTGAATGCCATGCCCTGACCCTGGTGTGCCCCATGGCATCCCCAACCTAGCTCTCATTACACATTTGGCACGATGTCAGCAAACACCTCAACCAACAGTTCTGTTATCGAGTGTCCTGACTACCGATCTACCCACCGCCTGCATATGGTGGTCTACAGCTTGGTGCTGGCTGCCGGGCTCCCCCTCAACGCGCTGGCCCTCTGGGTCTTCCTGCGCGCGCTGCGCGTGCACTCGGTGGTGAGCGTGTACATGTGCAACCTGGCGGCCAGCGACCTGCTCTTCACCCTCTCGCTGCCCGTGCGTGTCTCCTACTACGCACTGCACCACTGGCCCTTTCCTGACCTCCTGTGCCAGACGGCGGGCGCCATCTTCCAGATGAACATGTACGGCAGCTGCATCTTTCTGATGCTCATCAACGTGGACCGCTACGCCGCCATCGTGCACCCGCTGCGACTGCGCCATCTGCGGCGGCCCCGCGTGGCGCGGCTGCTCTGCCTGGGCGTATGGGCGCTCATCCTGGTGTTCGCCGTGCCCGCCGCCCGCGTGCACAGGCCTTCGCGCTGCCGCTATCGGGACCTCGAGGTGCGCCTATGCTTCGAAAGTTTCAGTGATGAGCTGTGGAAGGGCGGGCTGCTGCCGCTCGTGCTACTGGCCGAGTCGCTGGGCTTCCTGCTACCCCTGGCTGCGGTGGTCTATTCGTCGGGCCGCGTCTTCTGGACGCTGGCGCGCCCCGACGCCACGCGGAGCCAGAGGCGGCGGAAGACGGTGCGCCTCCTGCTGGCCAACCTCGTCATCTTCCTGCTGTGCTTCGTGCCCTACAACGCCACGCTGGCGGTCTACGGGCTGCTGCGGAGCAAGCTGGTGGCGGCCAGCGCCCCTGCCCGCGATCGTGTGCGCGGGGTGCTGATGGTGATGGTGCTGCTGGCCGGAGCCAACTGCGTGCTGGACCCGCTGGTGTACTACTTCAGCGCCGAGGGCTTCCGCAACACCCTGCGCGGCCTGGGCACTCCGCACCAGACCAGGATCTTGGCCACCAATGGGACGCGGGAGGCGCTCGCGCAAGCCGAACAGTCCGTCACCACCGACGCCACCAGGCTGGATGCCGCCAGTCAGGGGCTGCTCCGACCCTCCAATTCCCACCCCCTGTCTTCCTTCACACAGTGTCCCCAGGATTCGACCCTCTGAACGCACATCATGCGATAGCGCGGTCCGTGCCCGACCCCCGGCGCCTCTGATTCTGGGAGGTTTTCAGGGTGTACACACAAGAAGGTGGGCTTTGGATCTTTGGGTAGCAACTCCAGTTTAGGAACGCAGACGAGTACAAAGTGTGGAAGCCAGGGCCCGGGGAAGGCAGTACTGCTGGAAATGACCCCTTATACTGTGAGCGCGCAGCGGACCCCTTCTCCAGAGGTGGGAAGTGATGCAGAGAGCCCACCGGTGCAGAGGGCAGATGAGGACAGAATGCCTACTGGTGGGCGGGGCATTAAACTGCTAAAAGCTGATTAGATGGAACAAAATGAGCATTCCGGATTTAAACCACCACAGGGGCCTGAGAGCTGAACAGCCCCGGGTTGGATGGACCAAGCTACTGAGATGCCTGTTCATCTGCTGTCTAGGGTCATGAGTGCCGCCCACTTTCATTTCTGCCTAGGCTTCCCCTACTCACCACAGAGTTCCATAGGGACAGAACTAGGTTCTTTCTCACTTAGTGACTTGTGACAGTTTAGACCTGGCACCCAGCATGGGGCAGTTGGAGCAGGGCAAAACTGACTTGTTTCCCCCTTGCCAAAATTCAAGTCCAAACCCTTTTTTAGGTTAACCTTTCTTCCACCATGCCCCTTTTCAGGGCCTCCTCCATTCTAGGTCCTTAATATGCTGTCTCTCTCTGCTTTGTCCAGAGCAAGGAGAAAATTCTTCCTACTAAAGCGTTGGTTCTCAAACTTTTTGGTCTTAGACCCCTTTACACTCTTAGAAATTGAGGATCTCAAAGAGCTTTGCTTATATTTTGTTGTTTTGATGCTTGCCATACTAGAAACTAAGCAAATACCTTTTTAAAACAAATACACAAGCACACATTCCATTAGCCACGAGAACAATAATGTCATCACACACACTTCATGAAACCTCTGGAAAACTCTACAGTATACTTGTGAGACAATGAGAGTGAAAGGGCCAGATAACACCTGTGTAGCAGTATTATGAAAATAGCTTGACCTCGTGGACTTCCTCGAAGGGTTGGTCCCTGGATCTCATCATGCTTTGAGAACCATACTTGTCCTGAAGTATTAGAGTTCATGGCTAACTTCTTCCCAGGGCATTATATACAGTGCTTTTTATTACTGTGGGGAGAGGGCAGGGCTAACAAATTAATTACTACTGATAGTCTTCATCTGCAGCCCTAGGAGTAGTGCATCCAATGGAACACTACCCTGGGCATATCAGAGCAGCAGCCCTGCGACTGGGGTGGGAGACTGGGGGGTGGAACTAGTCACACACTCAGTGGAAGGGGATGGGACTTCTCTAGGTGAGGGAAAAGGGAATTGTGCCACAGCCAGGAGAGAAGAGTTTATGGGTAAGTTAAGAGTGACATGGAAGGACAGGAATGGTCTGTCCGTTCTTAGCAAGCTGGAAGCAAAGGAAATGGGCCATCTACTATTCCTTCCCTCTTTACCCAAGTTGGGGGCTCTGAGAGGCTGCAGAATTGGTACTTGTGTACTTCTTCAGACCTTGACATTACTGAGGGAGTGTTTGCCCTGTGTGCGTCCCGTAACATTTCTGTCCCTATGTCTCAATATTGTATTTTCATCTGTGTGTGTGTGTGTGTGTGTGTGTGCGCGCGCGCGCGCGCTGTGCGTATGATTGAGAGAGAGAAAGAGAGAGTGAGAGTGTCAGGGTTCTTCTCCGTGTGTGTCCGTGGTTTAGTCCGGGGTAGCCTTTTGTGTGTGCCTTTATGCCAGTGCTCCAGATGGTGATTTACAGGGGTAAAATGACCCCTGGTGGCCAAATCAGAGAACTGACCCAGATTCCTCAAGGATAGCCATGAAATCCGGGCCTTTCTCCATCTAGGTGGAGGCTGGAGCCTGGAGCACTGCGCTTACCTCTAGCGGCTGTGGAAGAGGGGTGGTAATTAGCACCCGCTCCATCTCTCTTCATCCTCCGGGTTCAAGACCTGCACCCTTCCTGTCCTGAGAGCACCAGCAGCGCCAAACCTCATAGTCCAAAATCTCAGCACTTTGCCCTATTCAAACAGAATCAAACATAATTTTTAAAAACTACTTGAGTACTTTCATTTTTTATTTCATTTTATTTTTTGAGACAGAGTCTCAATCTGTTGCCCAAGATGGAGTGCAGTGGCGTGATCTCAGCTTACTGCCACCTCCGCTTCCCGGCTTTGGGTTCAAATGATTCTCCTGCCTCAGCCTCCTGAGCAGCTGGGATTACAGGTGAGTGCCACCACATCCAGGTAATTTTCGTATTTGTAGTAGAGACAGGGTTTCACCATGTTGGTCAGGCTGGTCTCAAACTCCTGACCTCAGGTAATCTACCTGCCTCAGCCTCCCAAAGTGCTGGTATTATAGGTGTGAGCCACCGTGCCCAGCCACTTGAGTACTTTTATAGGCAGGTATGTGAGTGAGTTCCAAAGTAATTAAAACTCACGGCATGTATCACTTTCCAACATACCATATAATTTATTTATTTATTCTAATTTTTATAGTTTATCATCTCCACCACCCGTCCTATATCCTAGGTAGAATGTAAGCTCCATGGGGGCAGGGATTTTTGTTTGGTTCTCTGATGATTCCCAGCATCTAAAACAGAGCCTGGCACAAAGAAAGTGCTCAATAAATATTTGTTGAATGAATGAACAGTCAGATCTTGCTGTGAAGTAGTTTACAATCTAGTAGGAACCAAAAACACAAGAATGCCATACGGTAAGGTGTTGGCAGTTGATTTAGTGGGCAATGGGAAGCCCACGGACACTCCTGAGTGAGGTTTTGAACACACTGACAAACTGTGGGATACATTGTAGGGAAATGAGTTGGGAGAGTCTAAAGAAAAGAAGGGCTGGTCAGGGAGCCATTACAATAGCCAAGGACAAATGTGACCATGGCCTGTGGAAGAGGCAGATGGCAATACATTGTCTCTGATGTGAAATCTCTGGTGTCAAAGTCCTAGTGGACTATTTCCCCTCATTCGGATATCCAAAGGCTTTCCATCAAGAGAAGAGAGAGGCAAGAATAGATTAAGCCATTTTTATAGGGTTTCCCAGGACTGAGAGAGCAGTATGAAGTCCAGAGCCCTCAACCCATGCCCTGCAGCTGCCCCATTTAAGGTCTAGGAAAATCCAAAGGTAGAGAAGGGGAAAACCTTAGATGCAAGGGAATGAGCATTAGCAGGTTTTTTTTTTTTTTTTTTGAGATGGAGTTTTGCTCTTGTTGCCCAGGAGTGCAGTGGCGCCGTCTTGGCTCACTGCAACCTCTGCCTCCCAGCCTCCCTAGTAGCTGGGATTACAGGCACACACCACCACGCCCAGCTAATATTTGTATTTTTAGTAGAGACGGGGTTTCACCATGTTGACCAGGATGGTCTTGAACTCCTGACCCCAGGTAATCTGCCCACCTCAGCCTGCCAAAGTGCTGGGATTACAGGCATCAGTCAGCATGCCTGGCCTTTTAGCAGGTTTAAAAAATACTCTTCTGTATGCCAAGATTTCAAGTTAGTGCTTAAGATGCATAATCTTCTTTATTATATTAAATAATATGATATATTCTGAGTTAGAGACGACGCTCATCCCTTTTACAGATGAAACACCCCAGAGAGCCAGGTGCGGTGGCGCGTGCCTGTAGTCCCAGCTACTCAGGAGGCTGAGGTGGGAGGATCGCTTGAGCCCAGGAGTTCTGGGCTGTAGTGCGCTATGCCGATTGAATGTCTGCACTAAGTTCAGCATCAATATGGTGACCTCCCGGGAGCAGGGGATCACTAGGTTGCCTAAGGAGGGGTGAACCGGCCCAGGTCAGAAACGGATCAGGTCAAAACTCCCGTGCTGATCAGTAGTGGGATCGCGCCTGTGAATAGCCACTGCACTCCAGCCTGGGCAACACAGAGAGAAACCGGCTCTAAAATAAATAAATAAATTAACACCCTGGAGAACGTGAGGTCTTAAGGTCACACAACTAGGAAGTGGCTCGTGCTGTATTTGGCTCCCAAACTCCTGCTTTCTGCAGTACACCTCTCTTTCCTGGGACTCCTTTCCTGTTACATACTAGGTTTCCTTGCTTCTCCTCTCCTCCTCATGTAGCCACCTCTTTCAACTGCCTGGCTCACCCTGAAACTACTGCATCATCTAGGCCTTCCTCTTCCCAGTTCTTCCTCCATGCTCTTCATCCACTTGCCCTATAGCACACCCCATCCCCTCTCCATTTGCCTCAGCCCCCTGTGTATTGGACACCATGTGGCTATAGGGGTGGGGGAGTTGAGATCTGGCTCACTCAAGGTTCCAATTTTGTTGGGCCCTAAAACACACTCCCTCCAGGGCTCACACCCAGGCAGCATGCCTTAAGACTTCATGCAGTTGGTGGTGATTCCCCTCCCCCTGCCTGGGATGTCCCCTACATCTCCAAGGCAGCACTCCTAATTGTTTCCAATGTGCAGGGACCATCCCTTGACACTTCCTTCCTCAAAGTCTGTCTCCTCTGTAGGATGGTCCCTCCACATGGTGAGAGTAGTTGGGAAGAGTGACAATCATTAATTTTTTTTTTTTTTTTTGAGACAAGATTTCGCTCTGTCACCCATGCTGGAGTGCAGTGGCGCCATCTCAGCTCACTGCAACCTCCGCCTCCCAGGTTCAAGCGATCCTCCTGCCTCAGCCTCCTGAGTAGCCAGGATTACAGGCATGCGCCACCACGCCCAGATAATTTTTGTATTTTTAGGATTTCCCCAGGTTGGCCAGGCTGCTTTTAACTGGCCTCATGTGATCTGCCCGCCTCTGCCTCCCAAAGTGCTGGGATTACAGGTATGAGCCACCACAACCAGCTACAATCATTAATCTTAAAATAAATTTAAGAGAACCAGGGCAGAGGTAAGGGATGCCAAAGGAGGGCAGAGAGTCTTCCTTCTTGGTCCTCAACCAACTTGAGGGAAATCCCCTTGAGGCCGCCACCTGGGGTCCCATGGAAGAAATGGGGAAGGGGAGGTTAATCTCACACAGGAAGGCCGTGGACAAGGTGGGGTAATTCTCATCATGTTGTCCTTGCCAGAGGAGCATGGAAAGCTCTGGAAGGTGAACTTCTCACTCAGCGTTTGAGGAATCCCAGAGGATCTCAGAACTTTGGAATCAAACAAATCTGGGCACTAATTTCAACTCTCTCACTTCTTGGCAGAGTGACTTCAACAAATTTCTTGAACTCTCTGATCCTCTGTTTTCTCCTCTGTGAAATGGGGCTTATCATATCCACTTACTGAGTTATTGTGAGGGTCAAGGAGCCCACCTTTGAAAGGTACTCTAGAGGCCCCATAAATAGGAGCTCTTTCCAAGAGCACGGGGAGGTGAGGCCATTGGTAAACTCTGCCTGTGATGCCCAAGGGGAGTGATTCCGGAAGACATGAAGGTCTCCAGGTGAATCCTCACCCAGACAGAGCTCTGCCAGCAATCAGAACTAGGACCACGGGAGGAGGTGAGCAAGGCAGGCTGGGCACGTTTCCATGGTGCTAGGTCAAGCAGGCAGTCTTTAGGGACAGCGACTGGCCTGTTGCCCTCTGGGGGCACTCTTTCCCCACCAGGTCCATGTCCATCCCACAGATCAAGGAGGAGATGGAAAAGTGCATGACAGGAGAAAGCTGGATGGAGAACCAAGCAATGGAGAAAGGGCAAGGGAGGAGGCTGGAGGGGAAGCGAGGGCCCAGGCAGGCACGGGGTGGGGCTGGGAGAGGGGCCCAGGGCAGGAGGGCGGGAGAGCCTGGGAGGGAAAGCGCCGACCAGGGAGGGAGGAGGGACAGCGAGGGAGGCCGGTGGCGCTGACACAGCCTCGATGTGTGGAACGGGCTGGGGTTTGGCCCACAGGTCAGGCGTCTGGCAGTATTATGGGATGGAGAGGCCTTAGGAGACAGGGAGAGTATTATGGGCTGGAACAGCCTTAGGAGACTGGGGAATATTATGGGCTGGTGAGGCCCGGCTCCAACTGGAGGCGGGAGGAAGGGGTGCGGGGCGGGAAGGGGGGGTGGTGGTGGAAGGGAGTATTATGGGCTGGAGGCCTCCTGCGACCAGAGGCAAGAGTATTATGGGCTGGCAAGGCCTTCGGTGGCCAGAGGGGGGAGCAGCGGGGGATGGCACCGGCTGCATGTGACTGAGGGGGGGCCAACTTGGGGGGGTGGTGAGTGGGGGTGGGGGAGCTTATTATGGGATAGCTCTTTGTACCTACTGCGGGGACTGCTTCTCCAGAAGATATTATGGGATGTCGTATGTGGGAGGGGGAGTGGGGCTTGGGGATTATTATGGGATGGTGATGCAGAATGGGGAGGGCCTGAGGAGCTCTTCTCCAGCGCCCCCAGCTCCTCACCCCTTACTCTCTTATCATCCTCTCTGAGGTCAGCCTCCTCTCTCAAACGCCCCAAGCGGAACACCTGAAACCCATCTCCCTACCCACACAGACTTTGGGCACCTCAACCCATCCCAGGCATCTCCCCTTACTAGCAGCCACGTCCGGGGTGCTGAGGGGAAAAGTAGCCCCTGGCGAATTAGGAGAAAGCCCCAAAGCAGGGTGGTGGTGGTCAGTGGATCACACCTCCCACCTGCACAACGGCCTCCTCTGCTCCCTAGCCTCTTATGCCACCCTCCTTCCCATTCTCCCTGCCTCCCACAAAGTGGGGGCCCTGGATCCTTCTCCCCTCCCCCCTCCCTTCCATTTCCTCTCCAGCTCACTCCACAGCCGTAACCAGTAAAACAGGCGGCCAGCTATTATGGGATGGCTGCTCCCAGCAGCTCTGCAGGGAGGGGGCGGTCACCGCGGAATGTCTCTTGTGGGTGGCTATTATGGGATGGCCGCCTCTCTTTTTTTGGGGGGGGTAGGGGCTAACGAGGAGAATTATTATGGAATGTGCCCTGCACAGCTGGGTGGGGTTCTCCAGGGTAGGTGAAGCTCTAGGGAGGGGTGGGGAGGGAGAAGGAAGGAAGAGGGAGGGAAGGAGCTGGGGAGGGTGGGGTGAGCCCTGGAGCTGGACCTGAGGCCTGGCAGGAGTAACTGGCTGGAAAGGTTTCTTTGGTGACAGCTGTTTGAAGGGGCCCGTGGGGCAGCCTTCAGCTAGCCAGATCTGAACCCTGCACACCTGGGTCCTATAAACAGCTTCTGCGCTGCAGGGTTGCCCAGTGAGTCCGGGGCATGCAGTGTTGCACTGCAAGCGAGAACTCAAAGGTTCTGGCGGAGTGGCATACCAAAGGGAATAGTGCTCCTGGATGGCCATAGTTCCCCATCTCCCTTCCATCTTTGTCTTCCTGGGTTTGAGCCTGCGGACCACAGCTCAGGTTGGGGGGTTGTGCACGGGGCACTTTGCTACCTTGCAGTCACTCCCAAAGAACAGAGGTTAGGTTGCCTCCTGAGATACAAACACCTGGCATGTCACCCCAAGCCCCACATGATCTGCATCCTGTCTAGCCTTTGGAGTGCACTGTCACTGTGGCTTTTCTTTCCTCTGTTGTCTTCCAAAATCCTCTTTTCTGACACAGCAGGAGAACACTGTGGCCCCTTGGACCTCTTATGAGCAAGTTTTTCAGGTTCATGCAAAACAGAAGTGTAAGGAGAGGAATTATAGAGCAAATGCTAAAAACTCAATGAACAGCCCGCTCTGAGTGTTATTCTAGATTCCACTGTACCATGGGATGAAAAGAGAACTCTAAGGTAACTGGCTAGAGAGGCTGCCCTCCTGGGTGCATTAATTAGGAGATTATCCCACCCTTAGTCTCTGTGGGCCAATCATGCTAGTGGTTTATTTATAATTTATCTGGGAGGGTAGCATGGGGCTTACTGGAGGGAGGGGAAGCATAGAAGCATCAGGACCTCAAAGCAACACACCAGTACACCCCTCCAAGCCCTTTCTGGAACTCAAGAAGAGTGGAAGGGATTTTTACCTTCTGTTGTGGTGTCAGGGAGAGGTGGGGAGCAAGAGCAGCAAAGGAAGAAGTGGGTAGACCCTACAGGCATAGGGGCACAGGGTGAGTAGTGGACAAAGTAGGATATCTGTATTTTTAGTCACAGGCAGGAGGCTGTGACTACCCAGTTAAACACTCTCTTACTGGTTTATCTGGACGGATCACTGTGGAAATGAGAGGATGGGCACAGGCAGCTGGAGATATTACAGAGGGGAATTTGAGGTCCAGAGATAGGCTGGATCCCTTGGAGAAATAGGGGTAGAAGAGGGCACAGTAGGCATCTGGCAGCTTCTGTAGGAAAAACTTCCCTGAAGGGAGGTGTCCCCACATCATGGCATCTGAAATAAGCTGCCTCCTCACCCCCCATTGTGGAGCACAAGTTTCATTCTTAGAACTCAAAATAAGTATGGGAGAGGGCTTGGGTAAGTAAATGGGGCCCAGTCTAGATGCCGAGAGCATTTAATGAGGGAAACTGGAAGCCCTGCAGAATGGGGGAGAATGGCCCAATTGCCACAATGAGTGCGGCAAGAGGGTGGGCCAGGGAGCTGAAGGGAAGGTTGGAAAAAGGAAACACCAACTTCAAAGGTGACAGTGGGAGCTTTTGACAGGACCTGAGGTCTTTGATGCCAAAAACTGCAGTTCTAAGATGACAAGAAAGTTAAATGTGGAATGCTAGTGGGTCTACAAAGTCAGGCGGGAGCCCAGGGAAGACTTGTCTGTTTCCCTGGTGCTCTGCTTGGGAGAAGAGGGATTGTAATTCCCTGAGGCAAGCTCTTGTCTTTCCTGAACTCATTTCTTTTTGCCAATCCTCCAGTCCCTTGAATCCTAGAGAAGGGGAGAGTCATCTGGCCAGGCCTTACTCTAGGGAAATGAGATGAGAAGGGCAGACATGGTATGGAGTTTATCCCACTTACTACTGGTCAGGAAGGGCCCTTTCTACAAGGAAGTTGCTGTTTCTCTTCAACCTGTTCCTCTTCCCTAGGTCTTGGACCCATACAAAAAAGTCACATGAGCAGAGGGAGACATTATCTGTGGCCGGGTGTCAGGGCAGCAAGGCAATGGTGCTGGGGCATTGGTTTTCACTCAGGTCCTGAATCTCTGGGAGTCAGGAAGAGGGACAAGTGACAGTCTGATGGGCTCTGTTTTTCTGAGGGCCAAAGGGTTTTAAGATTGGGCTCTTTCCTAAGGCGGGAAGATCGCTTGAGTCCTGGAGTTCAAGATCAGCCTGGCAACATAGTGAAATCCCCTCTCTACAAGAAATTTAAAAATTAGCTAGTCGTGGTGATGTATGCCTGTGGTCCCAGCTACAGGTGGGAGGCTGAGGTTGGAGGATCACTTGAGCCCAGGAGGTCGAGGCTGCAGTGAGCTGTGATTGCAACACTGAGACCCTGTCTCAAAAAAAAAAAAAAAAGATTGGTTTGTTTAGCTTCTAGGGTTGGGTCCCAAGGGTAACTGGAAGGTAGGTACAATTAGGGAAGGGGATGGTATATGCTAGAGGGCTACCTTGGGGCATCATTAAATGTAGAAGGCCTTCTGGAATGTTGACTTCTATATAGGCAGGGGAAGACGGAGAACATTATACAACTGAAGTTTTTTTGTTTTTTTTTTAGATGGAGTTTGCCTCTTGTTGCCCAGGCTGGTGCAGTGATGCGATTTCAGCTCACTGCAACCTCTGCCTCCCGAGTTCAAACGATTCGAGGCCTCAGCCTCCCAAGTATAGCTGGGATTACAGGCCTGTGCCACCATGCCCAGCTAATTTTGTATTTTTGGTAGAAACGGAGTTTCTCCATGTTGGTCAGGCTGGTCTCAAACTCCTGACTTCAGGTGGTCTGCCTGCCTCGGCCTCCCAAAGTGCTGCAAGTACTGGGATTACAGGCGTGAGCCACTGCATCAGGCCATATGTATTTTTTTGAGCTGGAGAATGGGGCCTCAACAAGATGAGGATGGAGGCCACTGGAGGTATTGTGAGACTTCAAGATATAAAATGGGAAAGTGCCTAAAAAATATGGGACATTGAGATTAAGCAGGATTTGGTGTTCAAGAATGAGGGAAACAATGCTGGCATATTGTGGAATCTCTTAAGAAAGGCCGGGAGTGGTGGCTCATGCCTGTAATTCCAGCTTCTGGGGAGGCTGAAGTAGGGGAATCGTTTGAACCTGGGAGTCGGAGGTTGCAGTAAACCGAGATTATGCCACTGCATTCCAGCCTTGAGACAGAGCAAGACTCCATCACACACACACACACACACACACACACACACACACACAAATAGGAGGAAGGACATGAACATATTATAGGATTTCAGTAGTAATACCAAATGGATGAGCATTGCTTTTCGTTTTTTTTTTTTTTGAGATGAAGTTTCGCTCTTGTTACCCAGGCTGGAGTGCAATGGCGCGATCTCGGCTCACCGCAACCTCCGCCTCCTGGGTTCAGGCAATTCTCCTGCCTCAGCCTCCTGAGTAGCTGGGATTACAGGCATGCGCCACCATGCCCCGCTAATTTGAGCATTGCTTTTCAATCAAAATCCCCTAGTAAGGGAACAGATAGGAGATTGTCTTGATCATAGTCTATACCCATAAATCCTTTAAGTACCTTCCAGCTCTAGAAGGACCAGTAGGACGTATCCTATTGGGATATGTTCTCTCTTGGGACCAGTGGGATTTTCTGTAACAGGAAATTGGGAAATAGCACTCAGTAGTTCTCCCTTGGCACCATTCTGTGGTGTATCGTTTGCTTGGTGGTTTATGCTTTTTGAAGGGAGGCACCCGTGGTCTTCCTTGCTTCTCCATGGTGTGCAGCTCCGCCTTGTTAGGTACTCTGTCAACAAAGGTTGAATGAGCATGAGTAGTGGTGAGTAGCAGGGGGGAGGGTGGGCCTCCACTCTTGGTGTGTATAGAGTAGGATCCTCAGTTCACATAGTGATGGGATGTCCATCCGCAGGAGTGGCCTAGGGGTGTTGGTGAAAGGTCTCTTACCTGGGGTGTTGTGAGGAGGAGGGAGTGCTAGATGTTGAGAGTCTTGGGATGAGAGTTGCTAATTATTATGGGATGCTGTAGAGTGAATTTGACTTCCTGTAAATGTTTCATCTGTCAGCTTGGTATTTTGGTTGGTTGGTGTTCCTTAAAATTTAGGAGCTGGAGGTAAGCATTTGGAAAATACCTGGATTTTGGTGGGATTGGGTGAGGCCTTAGGTGGGCTCCTGGCCCCTGAGTGTCTGGAAATGATGGTATGAGGGAAGCTGGGCTCCAGACATCAGGAGGCTTTTTGCCAGGATACTGCTTTGGCCCAGAAAAGGATTAAGGTGTGTGTGCAAGTGGGGGCGGGGACAGGGAAGCGTGGGTAGCCTGCCTGGCCCTCCCTGCTCGAGGTGTTAGAATAGACTGACAGCGCCTGGAGATGGGGGTGGGAAGAATATGAATATTATGGGATGCCTGGCTTCAAGGGTATAGGGATGGTGGAGTGGAGATGAAGCATTATGGGATGTGACACTGGGTTGTGTTGGGAGTATTATGGTATGTTTGGTTGACCACGGGCGCCTTGCAATTATTATGGGATGTCAGGATGTGGGTAGGAGAGTAAAATTATTATGGGATAGCTTTCCAGTGTTAGAGGAAAAGAGATTAGATGTCTGTCCATCTGTAGGGCGACAGTAGGGCAGTTGATCATTATGGGTTATCTTTTTGATAGAGGGGTACTTATCATAGACTGTGGAACCAGGAGAGGGAAGGCTGGGGGTGTTGTGAGCCTCTAGACCCTAGCCTGCAGGGACTGAGGGCAGCCCCAGGGGGTTAGTTATTATGGGATGTCAGTATAGAAAGTGGGAGACTGATTATTACTGGATGTGTGTGGGAGGAGGCCGAGTGTCCGTTGTTGTAGTATGGGGGGGGGTGAGTTTCTGACTATTATGGGATATCAAACTGGGGGTGGATGGAGGGTGGTTATTATGGGATGTCTGTGGGGGATGGGGATGAGTATTATGGGATATAAGGCATAAGTGCCGGGAGGGCTGCTTATTATGGGATGGCCATGGGGAGGGAGGGGTGATGAATTATTATGGGATGTTAGCATTAGGGCCAAGAGTGAAGAAGTTGGCAAAGGATGGCTATTATGGGATATCTAAGAGGGTTAGTTGCAAAAGGTCTGCAATATCATCAGATGTCAGTAGCCCCTGGCATATATGTGTATGAAATGTGGGGGGGGGCGGGGTGTGTGTTTTGTGTATGTGGGGGGAGTGTCCGTGTGTATTATGGGATGGCCAAGAGGTGGGCGGTTGCCCAGGTGACACGCGCGCGCGCGCTCGAAGGGGCGTGGCCAATGGTTGCCTGAGCGACGAGGGGGCGGGGGTTGCCCGGGAGACCTGGGGAGGAGGGTGGCGGTAGTGGGGGGGGGTTGGAGTTGGTTGAGGTTATTATGGGCTGTCCGTGGGGGGGCGGGGCCTGTGCGGTGGGATTTCCCGGCCGGTGTTTCAGGCCCTTTAAGAGGCGACGCCGGAGCCGGAGCCATTTTCCCCCCTTCGGCCGCGGCGAGGAGGAGTCGGAGCGGGAGTGACACCAGGCCGGACCCAGCGCAACCTGCGGCGGCTCCGGGGTGAGGAGAGCGCGGGGTTCCCAAAAAGACGCCCCTCACGGCCGGACCAGCCCGGAGGGTCATCCCGTCACCCGCCCCTTCGTCAAGCGTCCCCCGACCCGCGGACCGCCCCTTGCCCGGAGAAGCCTACCCTTCCTTTCCTGGCCCTGCAGGGCGCCCGGCCTCCTCCCAGCCCCCGCCCTAACCCTGCCAGAGTCTTGCTCCCCGCGACCCTCCGCCTCTGGCTTGGTCTCCCACAATGCCCGGCGCCCGCCCCCTCGCCCTTTGATCACTTGCCCCCCGGGACACACGTGGCCCGGCCCCCTTCCCGGTGGGACGCTCTCGTCCCCCGCGTCCCTGCCTCCGGCCCCCCGCAGTGCCAGAGCCTCCACGCCCCCTCGTCCCCGCACCTCTTGAGGAGAACCTGAGTTGTCCCAGAGGACAGCCTTTGGAGAGCTGCCCTGTCTGGGGACTGGCCCCTCCCCGGGCGCAGGGAGGCGCCCCCCCACCCCCAAGTGACCTTGTGTCCCCGAGCGCCTTGTTGCCTGCCGCCTCCCCTGGCCCGCCCCCCCCCCCGCGCCGCTACCACTCGGACCCCCTCCCCCGTCACACCCCGCTCGGTCCAGCGTCTTCCCTCCCCGCGCCTGCACCAGCCTGCCCTCGGAGGCGTCGCTCCCTCGCTCCGTGGGGGCGCCTGCCGGGGAGCCGGCTTCCGGGCTGCCCCCGAGGAGTGTGGAACTAAGTTCAGCCTGAGCGGTTCGGGTGCCCTGCTAGGGTGGCTGAGGTGGGGGGCGGAAAGAGCGGGTGGGTGTGGGGGAAGGGGACAGTGCGCGTCACTGACTGTTCTCTCTTTCTCCCCCCTCCCCCGCACAGTGACTCGGGCCAGTGTAGAGGGCCCCAGGCCGCCGGCAGGAGCAGCTGGGCCAATTCCCTGGCCGGGAGCGGAAGGGGATGGCGTCGGGCCTGGGCTCCCCGTCCCCCTGCTCGGCGGGCAGTGAGGAGGAGGATATGGATGCACTTTTGAACAACAGCCTGCCCCCACCCCACCCAGGTAACATCTTCCCCAAGGGCCCTGGGTGGGAAGGAGGCATTTGGACTCTCCCGAGTGACTTCTCTGGGGAGGCAGGGCTGTGTTGCTCGGCTGTCTCTGTGCAGAGCCGAAGGTGGAGGGCATCCGAAGGGAGTGGTTCCCTTCTGCGGAGCTCTGGTGTGAGGGGGGTGGAAGCCATGTGCCTCCTGGGCACCGCGGACGGAGATGCCAGCTTGCTGCACTCTGTCTTGAGGAATGCTCTGCAGTTCCCAGTTGAGGGAGCTCTCTGGGCTGGCACGCATTACCTTGTGTGTGGGTCCTCGGAGGAATGCAGGTAGTTGGGACCCCTGGAGGCTTGTGGTAGTGGTGGTGGTGGAGGGGGACGTTGAGGATTCTGAGAAGACCAGCCGGGCATCTGTGCTAGTAGAATCTTGTGGTTGCCTCTGTGGAAAGGAAAGAGGGAGTGCTGGTTACGCTCTATCTGATTATTTTTAGCTTCTGATCAGTTACCGGTTTTCTGTGCTGTCTCAACTGTGTGAAGTTTGAATCGCGCTCCTCAGCATGATCTAGAGCGCTTTTAGCCAGGCAGATTGCTGGAATGTTTTGAGTGGGGAAGTGATGGGGGCTTGGAGAGGATGTAATAGCCTAGTGAGGAGAGGCAAAAGAAGGGAGGGCACCCCTCTTCACCTGGCTAGTGGACATAATTCTGGCTTGTTTCCTAGCAGCTTCTGCCTCTGTGAGGTAGCCCGGGGTTTAGGCTGGCAGTGTGAAGTGCCTTGTGTAGGTGTGCTAGAGGTTGCACTATCTGTGTTTTGGGGTGGCTCCGTGAACTGGCCAAACCCGTATGGTTATAACCACCCTGGCTGATTGGGGGAGCCCTTGTCTATTCTCAAATGATGATTGATCTCGCGTTCCTAAGCAGATCTCTTTCTTTTCTGTCTTTCTTCAGAGCCCCTAGCTAAGTCACCTACTTGTTTCCTTGACCTTCATTTTTTCTAGGTTCATTTTTTTTCCTACATGCCACTGCTTCATCACTTCTGCTTCTACTTTTCTTCTCATTCTGGAGCCTGCTGATTCTGTTTTTGTTTCTCATCCAGCGTTCTTCACTCTGCTCTCTTCTTAGCTCCAGTGGAAGTTGCGGTGGTCTGGGAGAGATGCTCTCAAATTTTGCACTTTTTAAGTTGGAAGTCTTTACTTCAACCTGAGGCCATTTAGGAGAGGGGTTAGTCTTGTCATGGAGTCTTCAACTGTTGGGATGAGAAACTTGGTTTCATCCTTGTGTAGGGTAGAGAGGCAGATTTCTGTGCTCTTGCCCAAGGTGAGAGCAGGGTGGTGGTGGTGGTAAGGGGACCCTGTCCTTCTAAGAGGGGCATGAGAAACTGTAGTGCTGCCTAGACATTGTGGGTTCCACATCTTGGCCTCCTATTGGCCCATTGGTCTGGGGCTGCCCTTCATGTTGACTGGGAGCTATGCAGGAGCTGTGAACTCTGTCCTGGGCTGTAGTGTGACCCACTTTTTCCACTTGCCACACCCCATTCCTGTCCCTTTCCCAAATCTTTATCTCAGTCATTTTGCTGTTTGCCGTTTCAGCATATTATTTGCCTGAGAAGTTTGGGGGCTGTATGTGCATGGAAGGATGTCCGCTTTGCCTCCATGGGTTATCTTTGTCTCTACTTCCAGCTTTTATAGGGGTGCTGAGATGTAGCTGGTGGGTGTTGGGGGTTGACTTGGGGGGATTGGTGGGGAAAAGCCCTTAAGAAAATGATTCTTTCTCGTGAAATCCAGACTGGTGTTCCATTCCCAAGGGAATGGGAGGGGCTTTCTTGTGCCTGGTCTCATTCTGGGCTGAGACTCAGGGAGGCTGATGATGCTTTGTCCAGCCTAATGTCTCAGATTCCATAGTATCTATCTAGCTCAGGAAGTGGGGAGCCAGAGACATTTTAGGGCTAATTCTGGCTGGTCAAGAGTTAAGAGCATGTCAGGGATTGAAGGAGGGATATATATAGATATAGAGATAGATATATACATTTTTGAGACGGAGTCTCACTCTGTCACCCAGGTTAGAGTGCAGTGGCTCGATCTTGGCTCACTGCAACCTCCACGTCTCAGCCTCAAGCGATTCTCCTGCCTTAGCCTCCTGAGTAGCTGGGATTATAGGCACCCACCACCATTGTCAAACTAATTTTTGTATTTTTACTAGAGACGGGGTTTCACTATGTTGGCCAGTCTGGTTTCGAACTCCTGACCTCAAATGATCCACCCGCCTCATCCTCCCAAAATGCTGGGATTACAGGCATAAGCCACTGTGCCTGGCTGGGATATTATTTTCTATTACTCTCTAGGTCCTGCGCCTTTTTGTGCAGATATTCCCATATGTTGGATAGGACTCTGGGTGGGGTTAGTGAGGAAGCTGAGCTTCAGAGACTTCTTGTGGGCCTCCATTACGCAAACTAAATCTTTTGGGTATCAGAAATTTGGGGAGGAGGTTATATGCTCTGACCACAGGTTCACTGAGCCTTTGTTAAATCTCAGCTCTGATGATTGAAAAAATAATTATGATGGAGGGAGTAATTGAGTTCCTCTCATGGTATTACTTTCATGTTTGTCTTGCTTTCCTTGGTTAGGACTTTAGAGGGGCCTCTTGTGAACTGTGTCATCCCAGAGTAGGTGGTATTTAGACCTGCGGCCAGGTAATTGGGGAGGCTTCTATGAGGGCAGTCTTTCTCCGCTACCTTTCTCAACCCCGCCCCCTCCCCTGCCACTTCCTGTCTGTCCTATGTTGGCAGCTGGGTGCCCTGGGCTGGCTTCTGCGGTCAGGAGCCATTTTCCCTCTCCTCAGTGGGTGAGGCACTCCCTTCTTCTCTCCACTCCTTTCTCTACTCCTCCCACCCCCACTTTAGGCGGGGGTGGCTTGGGAAGAGGGAGAGAGAGGAGGGAGGAAGGAGTCAGAGCTGGTGTGAATGTCTGTTACAAAGGAAGCTGCCTCCTGGCCTTCTCTTTCCCTTCTGTGCCCCTTCCCACCTTTCCTTGCCCTGGAGCTTTCAGTATTACCCCCGGCTTTGTGTGTGCTTCCAGCCAGGGGAGGAGGTGGAGCCAGATGGGAGGAGGATTGCTGGGGGTTGGCGCAGGGGGAGATGGTGACAGCTGGGCTGATTTGGGCCCCTAGGGAGAAGAGGCTGCTGACCCAGGAGAAGCTGAGGAGGAACATTAGGGTTGGAGATGGGGAAAGGCAATTGTATTTTAGGAGTGGGGATGGATTGGGCTGGCAACTGAACCTAGGACTTGGAGGTTCTGGTTAATTTGAGCAGTGATGACTTCAAAGTGGTCAGAGAAGGGTGTGGTTTCCCAGACCCCTGAACTGATCCTGTTGTGGGAATGTGGTGAGGGTATCTTCTATAGTTTCTGTCTTCTGAATAGGACCTTTCATTCTCATTCCCTGGTTTGTTGAATAGTTGATGGCCAGTTACAGAAGGCCTAAACCTAGTTCTCTTAGTTGGTGAAGTCTAAGCAGCTTGATTAAGCTGTACTGGTAAATACCTAGAAGACTGCTGGTAGGCACGGGAGAGAGGAGGCAGGGGTCTGGACAGCTGCCCGAGGTGGGCCTGGTCTGGCCTGGCAGGCCTATTTCGGGTATATACAGCTCTCTCTTTGTCTGTTTTTGTCCTGGGTATCAGCTTCCTTCTCTAAAGAGTATAGCAGTTCTCTTCAGAGGAATCTGGGACAAGAGGTGGGGAATAAAGTCTGAAGTCTCTGGATTAGGCCCTAACCTTTTGCTATTGATCTTTTCCCTGCCTGCCACTCTTTGCCTAATATATGTAGAAAATGAAGAGGACCCAGAAGAGGATTTGTCAGAAACAGAGACTCCAAAGCTCAAGAAGAAGAAAAAGCCTAAGAAACCTCGGGACCCTAAAATCCCTAAGAGCAAGCGCCAAAAAAAGGAGGTGTGTGGGTGATTGAATGTTATGGGGAATGAGAGGAAGAAGGGAGGAGCTCTGAGAAGGGTTGAAGGGCTGAGGACATTTGTGTCTTTCTCAGGAGTGGTGGGCCAGGTTCTGGGGATGAGCCTCAGGGCTGTCCTGAGGTCAGCATGTGTGTAGCATGTGTGTGTCTGTCTCCCTCTCCCCCCCCTTTCCCTGCTCCAGCGTATGCTCTTATGCCGGCAGCTGGGGGACAGCTCTGGGGAGGGGCCAGAGTTTGTGGAGGAGGAGGAAGAGGTGGCTCTGCGCTCAGACAGTGAGGGTAGCGACTATACCCCTGGTAAGAAGAAGAAAAAGAAGCTTGGACCTAAGAAAGAGAAGAAGAGCAAATCCAAGCGGAAGGAGGAGGAGGAGGAGGATGACGACGACGATGATTCAAAGGTGCCTGGATCTCCATCCCCCTCTTTGTGTTGTTAGCTATTGTCCTTTTGTTTCCTAGACACTCTACTGCCCTTTAGAACACTTTCTCTTTTTTTCCTCTTAATTCTGTTACTTTGGTCTTTCAACACAAATTTGCTTAGCAAGTGTGGAGATTAGG